TACTTGGCATTTCAAAACATATTTTGATAATGGGCCACTCTTGTCCCTCATAAAAAGTTGAAGAAAAGTAATTCCATGCTAATAGCAAACATGAGATATGTATATTTAATTTTATTTGTTGCCCTTTTTTTTTTTTTTTGGCCTCTTAGGGTTTTTTTAATTGCCTCCGGGTTGAACTTGCTGAGTACCCAGGTATAGTAATTTCTAACATCTGCCCAGGACCTGTGCAATCAAATATCGTGAAGAACTCCCTAACTGAAGAAGTAACAAAGGTAAAAATGTCTAGCTGGAGAATAATTTGGATGCTTTATTAGTTATCTATTTGTATTATACCACTCTGTCTCAGGGCTTAAAATTTTTTCTAACATGTTAGACTAACATGTTATCACATTATGAATTGTTTACAAAACTTAACTCATGGCATTAGGAACACTGTTAAGGTTAGCTGATGGTGCTTTGGCATTCAGTTTTAATAAAGGCTAAAGAAATTGATAAGATACTGCTTAGAAGTAATCCACTATTATGTGGGCTGTCAGTATTTTTAAAACCCAGTTTCTATCAATTCACAAGTTATAGCAACATTGAAAGGTTCTATGTGGCTGAATTTTAGTACATCAAATCTTACTGGAATTTCAAAGAGGGGCTAAAAGTGAAAAAGCCTTGGTGAATTGTGATAATTTAGGTTAGCTTCACCTGTACCAACCAACCACAAGCCTGTGTTTCCCTTGGCTCATGGATTACGCATAGTGAGTTCCCCAGTAGATGACAAATGTCTTCTGAAGAATCCAGTATCACTCAATAATACAAAATCCCACTAAAGATCATGAAATTTTCTTTCTTCTTCATAAAGATCACTTTCTACTGAGATGTAGATCGATTTATGATTCTATGTAAAAGTTTACAAATTTATATTTTCACATTTTCTGTGAGGCTCTAAGGTAAAATAGAATGAGCATGCTGTTATAGGAATCAAGTGACTTGGAATGTAGACCTGGTTACTGCTAATGATCTGTGTGAGCATAGAAGAGTCACTAACTTCCTGGCCTCAGTTTATGTATTCATAGAGTGGTGGTGGGTTAACTAGATGAGCAATACCAGATTTGTTCACTACCAGAAACTGCTTTTATCTTCTTCCTCCATTTTATCCCTATGAACTCCACGTTTTATAGAATTTCACTTGCTAAATATATTAATACTTTGTTTAAAAACTTTCATTGCCAAAATGACATATAATTACCAGTAAATACATTAAAGGCGATCTAATAAAAGCAAAGAACTTTCATCTTTTATTTAGCCTGTACAATCTTATCTGGTAAGTGTATGATTTCTTTTAGCTTTTTGAAATTTTACAAATAGCTTATAGACAGACACTCATTAGTACCTGTGGGGCTACGAAGGGGAATGAGGTCCCAATGAAAAAGTCACTAAATGACCTATGCATCCTTTCTAGCTTAAGAGTTCTATGAAATATCTTGGTTAAAATACTCAGCATTCACTTATTTTTTTTAACGTTTTCTTAGTCTATAGGCATTGATACAGTCCAGTCCCACAAGATGGCGACCAGTCGTTGTGTGCGGCTGATGTTAATCAGCATGGCCAATGATTTGAAAGAAGTTTGGATTGCGGATCAACCTTTTTTGTTAGTGGTATATTTGTGGCAATATATGCCAACCTGGGCTTGGTGGCTAACCAACATATTAGGGAAGAAAAGAATTGAGAACTTTAAGAATGGTTTGGTAAGACCAGTTTATACAATTCTTAATCAGTCTTGTAGTAAAGTTATGGTATTTTTTAGTGCTTGAAAACTTTTTAGTAACCCTCCACCAACGTGATGTAAGAATTGTGTCCCCCATGCCTATCTGTTGGTTTATTATAAATTACTACTGGTCTTGGAGAAAGAAGTTTCTACAAGGTAAAAACAAATCATACATTGCCATTTTATCTTCAACACTTCCTGACTGATTGGTGTATGTGTCAGAATACTCTTTTGCTCCTGTTCTTCACCACAAGTTCCTACCTCGTATCATCTCCTTGGGTTGCTACCTGGCATGCCCTCCCAATTTCTCCCCAGGACATGTACCTTAGCTCTGTGCTTAATGCTCTCAAAGCACTCTTAACACTCACACACTCTCTGTATAGTGCTGCTTCCTTTGGCCTCATTCTGGAAGCACTGTGTACCTATGAGATGTACCAAAATGTCCGTGTCTGAAAAAAATATAGTGATTATTCATTCTTTAGGCCCTCATTCTTACAGAAAAGTGAGGAATGTTTTGAACTATTTCTCAGAAAATTGTGACCATCACAGGAGTTTAATGTATAAAGAGCACAGAAAATGTAATGGGTTAAGCTAAAAATTATGGATACAATTATGCAAAGAAAGCCCATTTCTGTGGATAGTTTTTATTGTTAAAGTATTTTTTCAATGACTACTAGAAATAAGGTAGCAGGGATCGATACATAAAGAGAATTATTCAGTGGGAGCATACAATATGTATCATTATATAACCTACCAATATTTAAACAATCCACAAATTGTTAGGCACTTAATTTGTTACCAGTTTTTGCAGGACAGTGAACATGAATCTGTGAAAAAAGCAAAAACAAACTAAAATACTTAAAGAGACTTAAAGATTATAAAACTTCCATGATACACTAACAAGTCCAGAGCTTGAAAAAAATCATGAAGGGGGCTATTCATTTCTACCAAGGTGTAATGTGGGCCGTTTAGAAGTGTTTTGGTAATGTTGGGATATAGAAATGTGGGATGGCTCCAAAGGTAGAGCTTCAGCAAAGATTTACATGTGAATTTTAAAGTCAGAGGACAGCTGATATAGTGATATTGTGCCCATTGATGGATAAGAGTTGAGAATGAAAGGCCTCCATACTAGAGAGGTGACATAGCATCCTGGTTAAGAGCTTGGAGCCTCGTACCAGGCTCCCTGCAATGAAATCCCAGCTCTATCCTATGACCTCATCCCTCAGTCTCAGGCAGGTTCTTTCCTGTAAGTCAATCTTCCCATCTACAAAATGATGCACTTAGTCATAGGATTGTCATGGCGATTGAGTTAGTTAGTTTATGGAAAGCACTTAAAACATATCTTGGAACGTTATGTTAGAAACTAGCCCTTAATGCTTTTCTTTTGATGGTAGTAGGATATTTAGCTAATAGTAAAGATCATAGAGTTAAGCAATAGGGTGAAGAGAGAATACATTATAGAAGTGATTGTTTTTGAAGGAAGAGGGGACCAGGGCTAGAGTTTTGGTACTACAGTATCAATTGTGCTATTTGGAATGTCCACAGTAACATTATTTTGTTTTGTGTACAGATCATCTAACTGTAAAATGTAAATATTACTCAGTAAATCAAGCATTTGATTATGTCTAGTCTTTGCTAAAATGATGGCCTTTCTCTTCCTAACACCAACTTTAATATATTGCTTATTACGTGGTCTTTTCTTTTTAAAAGATTTTATTTATTTGAGAGACAGAGACAGCAGAAGCAGAGGGGAGGGGCAGAAGCAGAGGGAGAGGAAGAAGCAGTTTCTGCTGCTCAAGGAACCCAACATGGGGTGGGGCTCAATCCCAGGACCCCAGGATCATGACCTGAGCCGAAAGCAGGTGCTTAACTGACCAAGCCACCCAGGTGCCCCTGCTTATTGAATGGTCTTATTGCTAATCACTTTTTAAATGATTATAGACGAGGCATCCTTTCATGTCTCAAGAACATTTCTGAGATAAAATACATTTTTTACACTCCATATGACCTTAAAAATTTTTTTTCCTTTTGTACTCAGTTTTCTCTTCCCTTTTTTCCCCACCCATTATTTTGTATTGCATGTATATATGCAATACAGATATATATATAGATCTCCTTTATTAAAGAACTTTTTAAAATATTTATTTATCTATGAGACACACACACACAGAGAGGCAGAGACACAGGCAGAAGGAGAAGCAGGCTCCATGCAGGGAACCCGAGGTGGGACTCGATCCCAGGACTCCAGGATCAAACCCTGGGCCAAAGGCAGGCCCTTAAGTGCTGAGCCACCCAGGGATCCCTCATATATCTATCTCCTTTTTGAAATTTGCCTATAAGGCATATATATTAAGGTAATGCCAATAAAGCTAAATGTACTTGTTGATAATACTTGAATTTCTGTTTAGAGTAGGAACATTATGTCTGGAACTTTGTTTTTATGAGTGTATATCATTTTTCAGGATCAAGAACAATAACTGCACTGAATTGTTATATTTTTTTATCTTAGTGCAAATTGTTAGAAGTGGTAAATGCATATCTTCCCAAATGAAATGTCATGTTTTAAGGATTATTGAGTTGCCTTGGTTTACTCTGTTAAGCAGTGTACTAGAAATTCATAAATCATTTTAGAGTTGTCTGTCAGATACTTAATTCTAAATACCCTGACCAATTCTTTGTATTTATTTAGTTTTCTTTTTTAAAGATCTATTTTTTTTTTTGAGAGAATGCACATGCATAGGTGTGAGCAGTGGGGGAGGGGCAGAGGGAGAGGCTCTCAAGCTGACTCCATGCTGAGTGTGGAGTCCCAATGCGGGGCTTGATCTCACGACCCCGATATCATGACTTGAGCTGAAATCAAGAGTTGGAGGGCTTAACCATGTGAGCTACCCAGACGCCCCAATTCTTTGTATTTATTATAGGTATGAAAGACATGTTGGTCCAGAATAATAATAAGACGTTTCAGCATTTAAGAAGTGGCATGAGCAGATGCCCATGATATTTATGCCTGATAGAGGATGTAATAATACTAAGCCCTACAGAGATATTTTTCTGTAGATCTAGAATTCTGGCTATGACTTTTATTCTAATTTGAGCATTTGCCAGGTTTTAAAGGATTCTTAACAGTGAATCATAATGATATAGCTCCTAAAAACAGAAGGAATTGGTAAAATAAAACAAAAAAAAACTAGTAAATATGAGGTAAATATGAGGAGTTGATTCATGTTCTTTCACTTTGTTATAGGATGCAGATATCTCTTACTTTAAAACCTGGAAGACAAAACATGATTGAAGGAGTGCTTGCATTTTTTTAGACCGCTGGAGGAAGAAATGAAAACTGCAATCTTCTTATACACTGAAGATTAACTTCGGATTTTATTTTTCAGTAGATAAAGCTTTTCTTTCAACATGTAATAATAAATAAAAGATTGCCACGAATCTTGCAATAAAGATATTAACACATGCTGCATTCTTGGATAAAATGGTTTTTGTTTTTTTTTTTTTTTTTTGGTACTTGTTTCATTAGTTTCAGAGGTAGAGTTTAGTGACTCATCAGTTGCATACAACACCCAGTGCTATTTCAAATGCCCTCCTTAATGCCCATCACCTTGACAACCCATCCCCCTACCCATCTCCTCTCCAGCAAAAAGCATTTTGAAATGCTTCAGCATATATTTTTAAAATCTAGGTTAGTAGAAATGCTAACCAAAAAATTATAGCAACCCACTAGACATAAACGTATGGACTATTATATGAAACAGAGTGCGGGATAATGAGCAGATATAAAGATGTAGCTGAAGTGGACCTGCCTCTAAGGTACTTAAACTCTCAGAAGACCTGACAGGTACAAGTGACTATAATTTGAAGCAGTGGGTAGGGCTCATAGCAGCCATTATTAGACATCTGTCCTATGGCGTTTGCTGTTGAGGTGCTTTGTAGGAGATAATTCATTTATTCCTAACAGCCCACTAAGGTATGCATGGTATTATCCACCTTTATAGAGGAAGAGATGCTCAAAGCAAGTAGGTATTACTTTCCCAAAGTCACAGAGCTAGTAAGAGGTAAAGCTAGGATTAAATTCAACTCAGGAAAACTCCATTGGCAACTCTTTAGTTATTATTAATTTTACTTTTTTTATCATCAAGAGGGATGTAGAGAAGAAAAATGTTTCTTTTTTATAAGCAGTTAATAGTTTAGCTAGTCAACATACATAAAATAACTAGAATAGTTGGGTAAGTTCGAGGCCACTCAGGTGGCTATCCTTAACAAAAGGGGGGAGGTGACAGGTATACCATGGGGTACAGCAGCAATGGAATAAATGAACACATGGCAACATGCTTATATCCTAGAAGAGTGGCAATGAGTAGAGGACATAAATGATGAGCCATAACACAATTCTGTTTACATGCACTTAAACTTACATGCATGGAAGGTAGCGCTCATTTTATAAGAAAACATACAATAAAAAGATATACATTAGATTTATTAAAATGGTAACTCAGGATGAGGAAGGCAATGAATGAGGGTACAGTATGGGGATAAAATCTAATACACAAGAGGGCTCTTGCACAACCAGTGATGAAAACGGGCATTATGATTAATTGAATACACCACACCTGAGGTTAAAAAAAAAATTGTTGGAACAATTCTAGAATGCTACAAAATAATGTCACATGGCATGGTACTATAAGCACAAATAATTAAGAAAAGGGAGAGATTTGAATATAGAATAGTGCAAGGTGAACATGATAATCACTATGCTATGGAAACTCCTCCGGGGCAGTTAGAATAGTGTGGAAATCCTTTGTGGAGAAGGTAATTTGCACTGAGCCTTGAAAGGGTGGAATTTAGATGGTTTCAAGAGACTGTTATCCAGGTCAGTTCTGTCATTAAATCTCCAAGACCTTGTCATTATGGTCACCAATGTTTAGGGTTTGTTGAGAGTATGCCAGTCTTCCAGAATGTAATGAATGAAAACTCACAGCATAGTATGAGGATGAAGGAACGAGTTCGGTTTGCTCAATTACTCCAGCCAATGAAGAGTAGAAGAGGCATAAACAAAACGATCTTTACAAATTCATCTGTATGGCATTTTTCTATGACATATACAATTATGTACCTTTCTGTGTTATAAACCCTCTCTTCCTCGGTCTTTTTTGTGAGCAGTCCAAGATGGAAAGGCAGCTTTTTGTCAAAGATCGTCAAGAGCTATGAAACCAACTGTTCACATACATTTAGAAGTTTATTATTTTGCTCTGACCTCTCATTTCCTAATCATCTCGACTGGCCCTTTGAAATAGGAAGGAAATGATGTGCTCATTCTATCAATGCTGAAAGTGAGGCAGAGATGGGGTTGTGCAAAGTGACAACTGGTGAGCCGGTTAGAAGAGTCACCAGCAGAAGCTATGGCTTCAGGCTTAGTCTGCTGACTACTGGGTGCTGCAGTAAGTCACATCAGACCTCAGGCACAATCAGTTATTCAGGGGCGAAATAAACATCTTATTAAGTAAATAAATAACCTATTATTTTTAACACCTCTACTGAAGTATAATTGATGTACTATGGCTCCACATATTTAAAACATACAATTTGAAATGTTTTGACATGTAGGCCACACTTGTGAAACTATTATTAGCACAATAAAGAGAGCAAACATATCCCTCAGCCTCCAGAGTTCTTTTGTGCCCCTTTTTAATTGCTGCCCCTGCCTATCCCACCCCAGGTGACCAATGATGTACTTTCTGTCACTATAGATTTGTTTGCATTTTCTAGGGTTTATATACATAATGCTGGTGGGAATGTAAAATGGTACAACTGATTTGAAAAAGTTTGGCAATTTCTTAAAAGTTAAAAATACACCTACCATATGATTCAGCCATTCTAGATCTAGGTATTTTCCCAAGAGAAATGAAAACATATGTCCATACAAACACTTGCAAATGAATGTTCGTAACAGCTTTTACATAATAGTGCCAAACTGTAAAAAACCCAAATGTCCATCAACAGATGAATGAAATAAACATATTGTGGATTATTCCATACAATGGAGTATTAGCAAGAAAAATGATCTATTGATACATGCAACAATATGGCTGAATCTAAAAGAAGAGCATCTGAGTCTGGATTATTCTTTTTCAGGAGATTTTAAATTAAAAATTCAATTTATTTAATGGTTATAAGATATTGGGATTGTCTATTTCATCTTTTTAAATTTTGGTTGAGTTTTAGTAGTGTGTGGCCAAAATCAAGAGTCGGATGCTTAACCAACTGAATCACCAGGCACCAGGAAGCAGCCATAGCTTAATATTTTTTATTGGCTACAATGGATATGGAATTTAGAAAATGCTTACCATTTTTTAAAAATTGAAATATCACTGACAGATAACATTGTATTAGTTTTAGGTATATATAATGATTGAATATTTGTATATATTATTCTGAAATGATCACCACAGTATGTCTAGTTAACATCTGTCACCATACAGAGTTATAAATTTTTTTTTTTTGTTTGTGATGAGAACTTTTAAGATATACTCTTAGCAACTTTCAGGCGAGCGATATGGCATTATTAACTATAGTATCATGCCTCCCCATGACTTATTTATAACTGGAAGTTTGTACATTTTGATCTTCACCCATTTCATCCTCCCCTACCCTCTTCCTCATGCAACCATCAACTTCTTCTCTGTACCTATAAGCAGCAAAAGAATGAAAATTCTGTTCGTATTATGAAAATTTTTCTCCTATTTCTTTCTGCCTTTAGATATCTAAGACACTAGTAACCACTAGTCCTAGTGGGTCAAGTAATTCTCCAGAAGCAGTATATTTAATTGAGAAGAAATTCTTAAGGAGTCACATCTACAGAATGGTCTCTAGCAGTCACTCATTATGTTGTACCCAAACACTTAATTCTGATGAACAAGATAAACCTGTATCCTTTCACATATATCAAAAAGATACTGGGAAAGGAAGGAAAATATTTTATTGGAAGATGTTTTATTAAAAGCTTTTAAGGTTTCTGAATTAAAGCATATGAAAAGAAAATGAATAGATCATATGAAGACACTCAGACCATGTTAAACGTTAAAACAGCACGAAGTTTGAAAATACTATAAAATTTAATATTTCGAATAAATATAATCACATTATGCAACTTTCAATAGGACCCATTATCATTACATGAAAACACTGATATATGTGTATATCTTCTAAGTAAAAGTCAACATTGTTGTTGACTTCTGTAAGGCAAGTCACTTATCACATATTTAAGAAAACATTAAGAAACTCATTACATATCTTATACAAATGTTTCATATTTGCTAAAGTCTACTACAGTTCATAGGGCACAAATATTGGCCAACTAGTTCTAACTTTTATGTTAGACAAAGTTTGTTTGCTTTTTTAATCATTAAGATAGCTAAGAGAATCAACTTTACACAGCTTGCTTTTCCCAGGCATCTGACTTGTAGGAGGAAAAAGAGAAGTTCAGTGAAATTATAAGGAATAACATTGTTACTCTTCTAGAATGAAAAAATAAAAACATCTCAATTGATGATAATACACTTACAAGTCAAAAGGGGCTCTAATACAAGTGTATGTGGAGAGGTTTTGAAGAATAAATTGGATATCCCAAGGGAGGATCAGCTGCTTGTACCGTAAGGTTTCTTAAAAGTAGTGGATGAGCTTGTATACTATATCGTTCCTCATCATCGTTTGTGGCATAAAGCAATTCCCATGAAAGATTGGCCCACTGACCTCTAACAGCTTCAGCATTTAACTTCCCAACTTGGACCAACATTTCTTGAAGAGTAAGTACTCTCCCAGTGTAAACTCCCTTTAAAGTATAAAAAGGGGGATAAAGAGATTACATTCAAGCCTTTATATTTTATTTATAAACTCAGAGAAAAATTCCATTGTGGTTAGGCAAATTTAAACAGAAAGTAGTGTATTAAAATGTACACACAAGTTACTTGTCTTCATGATCAAGAATCACCTCTATTTGGTAGCTCTCTGAATAAGCTTGAAATGACATTCATTCAATAACCCAAACAGCAAAATCTCAGCACTTCTCTTTCCTTTCCTTCTCTATTCCTTCATCCCATCCGGCTTCAACAGAGTTAAGTCAGTCATAAATACTAGTCAGTGGATAATTACACAATAGACTCTTTTTAAAAACAGTGTTATTGAGATATAATTCACATTCCATACCATTTACTCATGTAAAGTGTATAATATTTTTAGCATATTCAAATATATATAAATATCTCTACAATTTTAGAACATTTTCATGACCTCAAAAAAGAAACCCTGTACTCTTTAGCAATTACCCTCCTATCCCTTTATTCTCTCAGTCAGAAGCAACCACTAATGTACTTTCCATCTCTATAGTTTTGCCTTTTCATATGAATGGAATAATAAAAAATGTGGTCTTTTGTGACTGGCTTCTTTAACTTAGCATAATGTTTTCAAGCCTCATTCATGCAGCATATATCAGTATTTCATTTCTTTTTATGGTGGACTAATACTCCATTGTATGGATAAAACACAATTTCTTATTGATTCATAGTTGATGGATACTTGGACTTTTTCCACCTTTTGTCAGTTATGAATAATGCTACTATAAACATTGATGTACAAGTTTCTATGTGGAACTATGCTTTCATTCCTCTTGGGTGTATGTGTACTTAGGAATAGAATTGAGTCATATGGTAACTCTAAGTTTAATCATTTAAGAAACTGCCAAAATGTAAAATGATTCTGCCAGCACTATATTAGGGTTCTAATTCTCCATATCCTCACCAATACTTATCTGCTTTTTTAATTCCAGCCATCATAGTATGTCCTATATGAAGTGATATATCAACGTGGTTTTGGTTTGCATTTCTCTTATGCCAAATGATGTTCAACATCTTTTCATGGGCTTATTTTTGCCCATTTGTATTATCTCCTTTGAATAGATTATCTATAGAGATACTTTGCTCATATTTTAAATAAAAATGCCCTTTTATTATTGAGTTTTAAGAGTTCTTAGAATATTCTAGTAACAAGTTCCTTATCAGATATATGCAAATATTTTTCCCTTTCTGTGAGTTGTCTTTTCGCTTTCTTGATTGTATTTTTTTTTAAAGATTTTATTTATTTACTTGACAGAGAGAGAGAGCATAAGCAGGGGGAGTGGCAGGCAGAGGGAGATGGAGAAGCAGGCTCCTCACCAAGCAAGAAGCCTGATGTGGGGCTCATTCCCAGGATCCTGAGATCATGACCTGAGCCAAAGGCAGATGCTTACCCTACTGAGCCACCCAGGTGCCTCTGATTGTATCTTTTAAAGCACAAAGGTTTTTTTTTACTCTAGATGAAGTCCTATTTATCTATTTTTGTTTTGTTTTCATGCCTTTGGTGTTATATCTCAGAATCCAAGGCCATATTTGAGATATAAAGATCTACTCCTATGTTCTCTTCTAAGATTTTTATAGTGTTAGCTCTTATATTTAGGTCTTTGAGTTCATTTTTGAATATAGTATGAAGTAAGGGTCTGCAGTTGGCTGAATACTATAACTTAAAGAAGACATATCCCAGTCCTAATGGTAGCTGTAAATTTTATTTGGACTATGTCTTTGCTGATGTAATTAAGAATCTTGAGTTAAGATCATTCTGAATTTAGGTCATCTTAAATCCAGTGGTTGATACCCTTAGAAAGGGATGGGAGAACTGACATGGGGTATATAGAAAAGGCAGCCATGTGAAGACAGAAGCAGTGATTGGAGTTATGCTGACACAAGCCAAGGAATGTGAGAGGTCACCAGCAGCTGGAAGAAGCAAGATTCTTCCCTAACATCTCTGGACAGAGTGTGGCCCTGATGGCATCTTGATTTCAGGTTTTTGACGTCCAGAATTGTGAGAGAATAAATTTTTGTTGTTTCAAGCCACTCAGTTTGCAGTAATTTGTTGCAGCAGCTCTGGAAACTACTACAGAGTCCAATGGCATTCTTTGAATGTGACTGTCTCAATACCACTTGTTGAACAGGTTTGAAATTCCTATGAATTTTAAAATCAGCTTGACAATTTCACAAAAAGGCCAGCTGAGATTCTGATAGGGACTGTACCAAATCTGTGAATCAAATGGGGAGTATTGCCATCATATCATTTTGAAGCACGAACGTCAGTTGTTTTTCCATTTTATTAAATCTTTATTTCTTCCAACGTTTTACAGTTTTCAGAGAGTAAGTTTTGTGCTTTTCTTGTTAAATTTCTTCCTAAGTATTTTATTCTTTTTGATGCTATTAAGTAGAATTGTTTTAACTTCATTTTTGGATTGTTCATTCCTAGTGTATGCAAATACAACAGATTTTTGTATGTTTATCTTGTAACCTGTAACCATGCTGAACTAATTAGTTTTAAGTTTTTTAGAGAATTCCTTAGATTTTCTATATGCAAGATCATGTTATCTGTGAATAGAGATAACTTTACTTCTTCCTTTCCAATCTGAGTATTTTTTTCCTTGCTTTATTACTTTGGCTAGAATCTCTAGTATAATGTTTAATAAAAATGATGAATAAAATCCTTGTCTTATTACTGATCTTAAGGAAAGCATTCAGCCTTTCATAAGTATGAATGTTAACTGTGGGTTTTTCATAGATATCTTTATCAAATTGAGGAAGCTCCTTTCTATTCCTAATTTAAGTGTTTTTAGTATGAAAGGTATTGGATTTTGTCAAATGCTTTTTCTGTATCTACTGAAATGACTACACAGTTTTTTTTATTCAATTGATATGGTATATTACAGTAATTGATTTTTGGATGTTAAAGAAACCCCACATTCCTGGGATAAATACCACTTTGTCATGGTGTCTCATTCTGTTTATATGTTGGTGGACTCAGTTTGCTATTATTTTGTTACAGATTTTTACATCCATATTGATAAGAGATATTAGTCTGTAGTTTTCTCTCCTTGTAATGTCTTTATGTGACATTAAAGACATTTTAATGTCTTTAATGCTTTTGGTATCAGGGTAATGCAGGCTTCATAGAATGTGTTGGTAAGTGCTCCTTTTTCTTCTATTTTTTTGTAAGAGTTTTTGAAGAACTGGTACTATTCTTTAAAATATTTGGTAGAACTATGTAACAAAGCCATCTAGTTCTCAGATTTTCTTTACGGTTAGTATTTTGATTATTACTTGTTATAGGTCTGTTCAGATTACTTCTTCTTGAATCAGTTTCAGTAGTTTGTATTTGTAGGAATATGTACATTTCATCTAAGTTATATAATTCACTGGCATACAAGTGTTCACAGTATTCCTTGATCATCATTTTTATTCTTATAAGGTCAGTAGTAATGTTCCCTTTTTTTGTATTTCATAATCACCTTTCTTATCTTTATTAATTTTTCTTCTGTATGCTTTTAGTTTCCTCTTTTTCCAGAAGTGTTATAAGGTGGAAAGTTAAGTTATTGATTTGAAATCTTTCTTCTTTTTAAATAGGCATTTTAAAGCTACAAATTTTGTTCTAAAGACTGCTTTAATTGCCTCTTACAGGTTTTGGTATACTGTGTCTTCTTCATTGTCATTTATCTCTTGGTATATTCTAATTTTTTCTTTGACCACTGGTGACTTGGCACATGTTGTGATTTCCATATATCTGTAAGTTTCCTAAATTTCTTCCTCTTACTGATTTTTAATTTCATTTTCTTTTGGTCAGAGGATAACCTTTGTAGAATTTCAATCCTTTGAAATGTATTTTGTTTTATGTCTTAGTATATGATTTATCCTGGAGATTGTTCCATGTACACTTCAGAAAAATGCATATTCTACTGTATTTAGGTGGAATATTAAATAGATGTTTGTCTGCTGTTACAGGTTTATAGCATTGTTCAAGTATTTTTCTGCTGATCTGCCTACTTGTTCTATCCATGACTGAAAGTAGGGTTTTGAAATCTTAAATTATTATTGCTGAATTTTCTATTTCTCTATTCATTTCTGTCAATTTTGCCTCATAGATTTTGATGATTCATTTAGCTCCACTGAACAGGACTGACACTTTTATCACTATAAAATGTCCCTCTTATTCTCTAGTAACATTTTTTTTGTTTCAAAGTCTATTATTTTATTCTTTATTTAACTTAAATTCAATTAGCCAATATATAGTACACCCTTAGTTTCAGATGTGTTCAATAATTTATCAGTTGCGTGTAAAACCCAGAGCTCATTACATCATGTACCCTTCTTAAAGTTTATTATCTTCTGACAGTAGTCTAGATACTTCAGTTTTCTTGTTGCTGCTTGCCTGATATATCTTTTTCACCTTTTTACTTTCGGTTTTTTTTTTTTTTATCCAGTCTGACAATCTCTTTCAACTGTTTAATCTTTTAATGTTAGTTACTATTGATATAGCTGGATTTAAGTCTGTCATTTTCCTTTTGTCTTCTAATCTCATCTTTATCCCTCTATTCCTCCTTTACGGCTTTCTTTTGCCTTAAGTGAATATCCTCTAATGCAGAAGTTTAATTTCTTTAATGATTTATTTTTTAAGATTTTACTTATTTATTTATGAGAGGCACACAGAGAGAGAGGCAGAGACACACGCAGAGGGAGAAGCAGGCTCCATGCAGGGAGCCTGACTTGGGACTCGATCCCGGGACTCCAGCATCAGGCCCTGGGCTGAAGGCGGCGCTAAACCGCTGAGCCACCCGGCTGCCCTGATTTTTTTTTTTTTCTTTTTTCTTTTTTTTTTGCCCTGATTTTTTCACTTAAAACTATTTCCTCAGTGGTTGCTCTAGGGCTTGCCATGAATAACTTATTAGAATCAGCATTAGTTTATACTTTTTGGTGAGATATATAAAAAATAATCCTGTATAGTTCTATTCTCCTTTTGCCACTTTTTGTGGTATTGTTATACATATTACATCTTTAATGTTACAAACCCAATAGTATATTGTTATAATTATTTTACATACTTTTATATCTTTTAAAGAAACTGAGAAGAAAACAAGTATATATTTATTGCTTTTGCTACATTAACTTTTTATTTATTATTTCTGGTTCTCTTTTACTCCTATGGATTCAAGTTACCATCTGGAATCATTTCTTTTGCTTAGTATAGCTGTGCTTCCGCTGACTTCCATTCTGCAATTATTGGCAAATACACCTTTCTATGTGATATAGACACAAAAATGCACTGAAATCAGGAAGAATGACACCTTCAACTTTGGTCTTTCTCAGGATTGCTTTGGGTATTTGGGGTCTTTTGTGTCTCCATACAAATTTTGGATTGTCTGTTCTATTTCTGTGAAAAGTGCCACTGGAATTTTGATAGGTATTGCAATGAATCTGTAGACTGCTTTGGGTAGTATGCACATTTTAATAGTACTAATTCTTCCAATCCATCTTTCCATTTATTTGTGTCTTCTTAAATTTCTTTAATCAATGTATTATAGTTTTCGATGTACAGGTCTTTTACTTCCTTGGTTAAATTTACGCCAAGGCATTTTATTTTTTTTGATGCAATTGTAACTTGTTTTAGCTTCCCTTTCTGATAGCCTGCTATTAATGTATAGAAACACAATAATTTTTGTATATTGATTTTGTATCCTGCAACTTTACTAAATTTGCCTATTATTTCTAAGTTTTTTAGTAGAGTACTTAGGACTTCCTATACATAATATCATGTCATCTGCAAACAGTGACACTTTTACTTCTTCCTTTCCAAACTGGATGACTATTTCTTTTTCTTGCCTCATTGCTGGGGCAGGACTTCTGATACTATGTAAGAGTGGGTATCCTTATCTTATTCCTAATCTTAGAGAAAAGGCTTTCAGCTTTTCACCATGGAGTATGAAGCTGGCAGTGGGCTGTCATATATGGCCTTATTATTGAGGTACTTTCCTTCTATATCCACTTTGTTGCCTACTTTATTTTCTTCTTTAAGTATGGTTTCTTTCAGCCCTTTGAACATTTTTATAATGGCTACTTTGAAATCTTTGTTAAATCTGACATCTTAGTCACTCATAGGCAATACCCCCTCCCTGGTGCATGGATCTGACTTTCCTGTTTCTTATGTCTTATAATTCGTGCTGGATATTTTATGTAACACCACTGCAATTCTGAGCATTGAACCTTGCCCCCCTGTCCCTTATCCTAGGGCTTGTTATTTATTTGCTTGTTAGTTTAGTAAGTGGCTGGATGACTTTAGTGAAATTAATCCCTAACCTTCCCAACAAGTATGAAGCCTCTGATGTAGTTCCTCAGGGACTGCAGCCTTGTGAATGTTCACAATTACGATGAGATGGCAGTGGTTTTAGCAGGGCTCTCTTCATCTATAATTGCTCACACTCAACTGCTAAGCTCCAATGATTGCCAGGTGGTTGCTTTGTTTTCAACAATGACCTGGGAAGTAAATTGTTTTATAGACTGATCCAATTAAACATGGACACTTTTGACCCCAGGAGGGCTCTTCTCTATGGATTCTTTCCCTGGATCTATTTACCTATTCAGCCTAAAGTTCAGTTTATGTCTCTAACAAATTTACCCGCAGCCCCTTAATTACTTTTTACCATAAGCTCCATTGTTTTTGAGAGCATCTTAGGTGTCAATGTATACATACTGCTGCAAATAAACTAATTTTCTGTGGGAGAAATTTAGAGTTCTCTTTTTCAATGGTCTGCTTCTCCCACTGGGCAAAATCTCTGAGCCAGAGCTCTGTATCTGGGGATGAGACAATGGCATGCTTCTCTCTGAGAGACACCTCTGCTTTAGGAGGCAGAAGGGGAGCAGTACCTCAGGCCTTCTTGGCTTGCCTCTCCCAGTGTGGAACCTCCACCTTCCAAGGAGGTAAGGGTGGCCAGGGCCCCATTATTCTCAGTGGCACCAAATACAGGGTAAAGTCTCCACCCAAAGTGATGGGGTGGCCAAAAAGGAATTCTCACCTCTTAACTATACATGCTCAGAATCTAACCTCACAACAGGCAGCTAAGATAGGAAACGCCGAAGCCCTGACTCTCCCAGGAAAACAGTCCTCCAACTAGATAGGAGCTGAAGTGAGGGGGAACTCTTCTTGTTCATATCAGTCTGGGTGGAATTTCTGTCTTAAGTTGGGAAGGAATGGGTCTTGGTTCAAATACTGCAGTCCCTCACTCTTCTTACTGGGTTTTAGTTGAAACTCTTGAATAAATGTTTCTTCATTTGCATATGCCCTGAGGACCATTCCAAGTCTTTAAATGGTTGTTTTTTAAAAATAACTTTTGGGTGCCTGGGTGGCTCAGTCCGTTAAGTGTCTGCCTTCAGCTCAGGTTGTGATCTCAGGGTCCTGAGATCAAGCTCCATGTCAGGCTCCCTGCTCAGTGGGGAGCCTACTTCTCCCTCTCCCCACTGCTTGTTCTTTTTCTCTCTCTCGCTATCTGAAATAAATAAAACCTTAAAAAAAATAACTTTCATTATTTTTGATGGAGAGCACATCTGTGGAGCTCCTCAAGCTGCAATACCAGATATGAAACCTATAATGAGCTTATAACATTGAATCACATTGTGCACACTTGATGACATTTTAAATGTAATGAGAAGAACCACTAATTTCTTTAAAAAAAAAGAAACTCCTGGGGATCCTAGGTGGCTCAGTGGTTTAGCGCCTGCCTTCGGCCCAGGGCGTGATCCTGGACTCCCGGGATCATGTCCCACATCAGGCTCCCTGCATGAAGCCTGCTTCTCTCTGCCTGTCTCTCTCTCTCTCTGTCTCATGAATAAATAAATAAAATCTAAAAAAAAACAAAACAAAACTCCCGGAGTCTCTGATTTTTCACAGGTCAGAGTTGCTTCAAATAAAAAATAGAAAAAAAATATAACATAGAAGTCAGCAAAAGAAATACTCTGCCACTTATAAATTAATTTTTCTTCTAGGAGTCAAGTCCAAAATGATAAGTCATGACTCAAATTTGGCATAGGAATATAATCCATGTAGTCAAATATGTTATAGCAATTTAAGAAATTAAGTTTACTTGGCTATCTTATAGGTCAGTTATTACACAATGGCTACACATTTTTAATTGGCTCACATTACGTTTCCAAAAGTAAATAGTCATTCTAGGATTGTACTATGTTGGCCATAAAGTCACGGTTGCAAATGCCTTAACAAGATAATTAATATATCCATACCCAGAATGTTGTATCTCTATCAACTAGTTCAAATACTTTATAACTGATTTCTGTTAATATACAAAAATGTTTAAAAACACATTTTTAACCTTACCATATTAGGGTCATATCCCAGAGAAAACAAGTATGGTTTTTCTTGTAAAACTGCTTCCTTCCACTTTTCATCAGATACCAAACCAATGTACCAGTCAGTTTCATATTCTTCAAGGCAATTAGTCAGCTCTTTAAAGTCTTCTAATGAACCTAAACTTGCTTTATCAATCATTAATTTCAGAGTATACCTTAAAAATGGAGAAACAAAGAATTTTAGAATTTTTAATAAAATTTATAAAATCAACCTTATAGGTGAAATAGATTTTGTTCAATCAATATTTTTAAGACACTGCACTGAAATCATACATATTTCAGATAAAAAGATCAAGGAGAATGATGGAGTGAAGTGAAAGTGAATACATTAAGTCATATGAAAAACAGGTTCTCCACATAAACAAAATAAAAAGAAGTCGAAATTAAAATGTACTCTTGATATAATCACTGTACATGCTAAGCATCTTTTTCCCCATTTTTAGGAAAGTGATTATTTCTGAAAGTTAGAAATGAAGTATCTCCTTCTAGGTTATTTTAAAAAAATCAGTATTTTCTACCAGTAATTTACATATAATCAAAATGAATTACCTGAAAGCTTTCAGTGCTAGTTGGAACAGTTCTGGCTTTTCTGTGAGCCAATCCAAGGCAAGAGACCAAGGCAAAACACCACTGTAAACTCTCAATAAATGACCAGGACTGGGAACCATATTATCTACTCCAAATAAACTAAAATAACAAGTCATTACTGCATGAACATAAAAGTCTTTTAAAACTTTGTCCTTTGCAATTTCTTCCAGTACATTTGAGGCATTTTCTTCTGAATGAAAACATTCCAACTGCCTTAAAACAAATTGATACCACTCTTCTGGAAATAATGAGCTCATCTCCCTCATTTTGGAATTAGGCAAACAATTAGATGTCCACTCTTCAGGTAAGCTTAACAAGTGAGAATGAGAACAACTGAACTCCAGGAGAGGGATATATGCCATATCTTTTGGTTTTCCTTTGTCAACCACAGGGTATCCCAATATAACTGACTTGTAAAGACTGCTTTCAGGAACTGTGCCTAAAAAATGATCGCCAACCTCCTGTGCTTCTAGTGATCCTGGAATAGGCAAATTTATATCTGGTACAACCTTTAATTGATCTTTTTCTTTTCCTTTTTTGATAGTTGGCTCATCGCCAAAAATATTATCATCAGACCAGTCATCCAAAATTTCTGAATTTAAACTATCTGTGTCTTCTGGCGATTGGGTTTGTAGTGAAGCAGTCAAAGCAGGCAGGATTATTGGGGATGCTTTCCCTTTATTTTCCATTTTGTGAACAACCTCCTGCACGTTGGGTCTTCTGGAGCAGTACTGAACAAGTATCCACACAAGTACTTTAATAAGGTCACCATTAAATTCTTTTAAATTGTCATGAGAATCGATTATGCCAGATAGAACATTCCTGGCATCAGAATAGAGTTTTACTGGCAAAACAGTACAAGGTGTCAAGACATTTCCAAAGTGTTCATTAATAGAACATATTCTTGAAGATTCTTGTTCAAAGGCACTTTGAAAAACTTCATCAACTCTTTGAGCTTCAGCAGTATGACAGGACGTCTCTTGCAATTCTAACCCCTAAACAGGAAATAAAAAGTACTTCAGTTTATGATCACTTATTACACAGAGAAAAGCAACTACTTTTGTATGTGCCCACATACTGGATTATAATTAAAATATAGAAAACGCAAAAAAATTTATTTAACTCAAGAACTATACCTTTACTCAAACTTATTGCCACTTAAACACACTTGATGTTGCATACAGATGAAAAATGCTATTTTAAAAGAAATTATAGAAATGCCACTAGAAATTACCAAAACAATTTAATTGACTATGACTGCAATTTTGAATGACTATATGTATAGTCAAGGTCAAATCACACTTACAAAAAACTTTTTAATATAAAATTTTTTTGGAGGGTAAGAGGTAAAATTGGAATTATATAGCATATACAGTTTTTTATCCTACTTTATATGAAAGCATTATTCTACTGTATGGATATGCCACAATGATTTACTCATTTTCCTGTTCCAGTTTTTAATTATAACATCATCATCATCATCATCATATAGATTTATGTATTTGGTTACTGCCTGTCTCATCTAACTATAATGTAAACTCCATAAAGCAGCTCTCTTTTGGATACTATACCTGCAATGTCTAAACCAGTACTTGGCACACAATAGGTATGTAGCAAATATATGCTGACAGAATGAATATTATGGATGTGTTTTTATTTACTTTTTACTTATTTCCTTTTTATTTTTTTTAAAAGACTTTATTTATTTATTCATGAGAGACAGAGAGAGAGGCAGAGACACAGGCAGAGGGAGAAGCAGGCTCCATGCAGGGAGTCTGACGCAGGACCTGATCCCGGAACTCCAAGATTACGCCCTGGGCTGAAGGCAGGCAATAAACCGCGGAGCCACCCAGGGATCCCCTTATTTATTTCCTTTTTAAAGATGTATCCATTCATTTGAAGGGAGGGAGGAGTAAAGGGAGAGGAGACAGTACCAAGTAGACTCTGCACCCAGTGTGGAGCCCAATGTGGGGGCTCAATCGCATGATCCCAAGATCATGACATGAGCCAAAACCAACTCTGATGCCCAACCAACTGCGTCACCCAGGACCCCTGAATGTGTTTTTATGTGAATTTTAAACACATTTTTGTTACTTCTCTACAAGGAACCACTTGAAGAGGATGAACCAGGTCACTGTTTTCTGTTATTATTGCTACCATTGTTCATTTATTTACACATATTCACAAAATTACCAGTGCCTTTAATAAAAGACAATGCTGTCAGGCTGTATTAGGATCCAAGCAGTGAGTCGGGAATGTGACATCAGAAGCCATTTTTAAATCATGGCTTTACCAGGTGTTAGTACATAATCATGAGTAGATCACTTATCCAGAGAATCCTTTTCTTTCTCTTTCAAAGAAAACTAATCCTTGCACATAGGGTTGTGAAGATTTAAGTAATAAAAGTGCCTTGTTGGGGTGCCTGGGTGGCTTCATCAGTTAAGCCTTGGACTCTAGATTTCGGCTCAGGTCATGACCTCAGGGTCCTGAGATCTAGCCCCACTACAAGGGCTCCATGCTGGGCGTGGAGCCTGCTTAAGATTCTTTCTTTACTTCTCCCTCTGCCCCTCCCCTCTAACAATCTCTTTCTAAAAAATAATTTTTTAAAAAGTGCTTTGTAAACTTTAAAGCATACAATAAATAAATATTGGTAAGATGATATTGCTAAGCCACCTTGTGTCCAAATAAATGAAAAAGAAAAAAGTATGTCATCAAAAAAGTGTAATCTTTACATATATGACAGAGCACAAAAGATCAATAAAGGATCCACATTATTTGGTATTATTAAACATACCATTTTAAAAATACAGCCTAAATGAAGCAGTATGTCCTCAATATTTTGCATGAGTTTTTGCCTTCTCTTACCTGTACAGGTTAGACTAGGTTCTCAAACTTTAGGTAAGTCAGAACCACTGGAGGGCAGTTAAAACAGACTGTCGGGCCCCCCCTTCTTGTTTCTGATTCAGTAGGTCTGAAGTGGTGCCCAAGAATGTCCATTTCTAATAAGTTCCAGGAGATGTTAGTATTACTAATCTAGGGAGCTTAATTTAGAGAACCACTGGGCAAAAGAAAAAGCTTTTCAGTCACCAGCAATTTTATCCTGTTGGTGCTAAGACAAAACATTCATTCATTCACCACTATTCATTCAACAAATATTTATCAAGGGCCTATTATGTGCCAGACACTGTTCCAGGGGCTTAGGATATGTCTCTTCAGAGAGCCCTGCCCTTGTGACATTTACATTAGAGAGTAAAGGGGACACAGACAATCAACAATGAAAATAATAATTATATAGTTTGTTAGAAGGTATAAGTGCTATAAAAATAAAGAAAAAGTAAAGCAAGCCAAAGATGACTGGGAGTGCCAGGATGGGTGTGGGAATACAATTTTAAATAGGATAGCCCTAGTAGATCTCACTGAGAAGGTGACATTTGAGAAAGACTTGAAGGTGGTAAGGGAGTTAGCTGTGTGCTTATGTGAAGGAGGGGTGTTCAAGGTAGAGAGAAGAGCCAGTAGGCTGGAGTAGAGAAGATTCAAGATTCAAGTAGTAAGATGAGGCCAAGAGGAAATAGAGAGCCTGACCATCCAGGGCCCTTGGCTTTTACTCTGAATAAAAAAAAAAAAAAAAAGAGATACACTGTATGGTTTTGAGTAGAGAATTGACATGATATGAGTTAGATTTTAAAGATAACTAGTTGAGAAAAGACATAGGGAGGCACAGGTAGAAAGAAGCAGGGAGACCATTTAGGAGGCTATTGCAATTACCTGGAAAGAGATAGAGAGCTAATTGTAGGGTGGTGAGAAATGGTGGGATATAGGATATGGCTTAAACACAGAGCCAACAGGATTCTTGTTGGAGTGCATGCGGGGTATGAAGTAAACAGAAGTGAAATATCACTGGACTAAAGATCAGATGCTTTGGGGCTGAGCAACCAGAAGTATGGGGTTGTCACCAAAGACTGCCAGGCTCTGGGGCAGTCTGATATTAAGTAAGAGGTCAAGAAAGGTACCTGGGTGGCTCAGCTGGTTAAGTGTCTGCTTTGGGCTCAAGTCATGATCCCAGGGTTCTGGGATGGAGCCTGGTATCCAGCTCCCTGCTCAGCAGGGAGTCTGCTTCTCTCTCTTCCTCAGCCCCTCCCCCACTCATGCTGTCTCTCAAATATATAAATAAAATCTTAAAAAAAAAAAAAAAGAGGTCAAGTGAAAGAGAAGGAACCATTAAAGGAGACTGACAAGGACTGACCCATGAAATAAGCTAAAAAAAGACACTGTGTCAAATGCTGCAGACAGGTCAAATAAGACCAGGTCTGAGAACCAGTCACTGGATTTAGTAATGTGATAGCCACTGGAAACTTGGACAGTTTTGGTACAGTAACAGACAACAGGGTCAAAAACCTAGGGTAAGTTGAAGAGAAATGGGAGAAATGAAATTTGATGTTTGATTATAAGTAATTCTACTAAGGCATTTTGCTTTAAAAAGAGGAGAAAAACAGGGTGAAGCAGGGGAGTAAGGATCAGAATAAGCTTTTTTATTACATTGAGAATGCTTACGTGATGTAGGAGTGAAAAAATATTACTGAGTCACACTTTTGAGATGCTCAACTGAATAAGGATAAAAAGAACAGGACTGGACAAAAAGAGGGCAGGTGTATTTTGTTACTATGCTCTATTATGCAATCAACAGTAGCCTACCTATCAACATGTGCGTATTGAAATACACTTTAAAAATCCCTAGGTGTTTTCACAGGTTGATAAATTGATACTTTTTTTTTTAAATTGATACTCTTAAATTGAAATATTAAGTGTATGATATGTCTGTAACAGGTAAAAAAATTTTACACACGTGCTATAAAAATACTAGAAAGAGGTTTCAAATGTACAATGACCTTAATGTTAATACAGCAGTACGTATAACCACATTCTAGAATCATTATCCATATTAAACGATCCTGAAAACGGCCCAAGTAATGAGACCCAGGTAAGAGGAGACCTAAAACAAATTAGAGAAAAAAGGTAAGTAATATTCAAGCTTGTTTTATTTTTCCATGTGAATCTTCAAAATTGATAGCACATTTGGAATGATTCATAGCTCCTTTTATTCTCTCTTTATATCAAGAATAGAAACAATTATTCATTGCATATCAGGGGGCTAAATTAAAGCTCTTTACTGGAACTGGAACAGGAACAGAAGAGAAAATCTATAGGTGATAATAAATAAAATTTCAAGGATATATTTTCTAGAGAAACAAGTAGAATCTGCTATATAAAATCCTAAATACAGTAGGAAAAATACTAAAAGTATCAAAGTATTAAATGTAAAAAATGTATAAAACTCAATTTCACATTAATTATTTACTTAAAGCATTATGGACACTTTTATAGAGGCATATAAAAATGTTTTGTGGTGTTAAAATTTACATTAAATGCTAACTATCACACTGTACAAAAACTTTAAAAAATTAGTTTTCTCTCAACATTAAGTGTCTGAGATTTGCCCATTGTTGACTGCAAATAGCTCATTATTCATTGTACCTATAGTTGAGAATTCACTGTATGACTGTAGCTTAATTTGAATATTCATTTCACTGTTAAAAGCACATTCAATATATTTCCTATATTTCCAGTTTTTCTCTATCATAAATAATACTGCAGGGATTAGCTTTGTGTAAGTCTGCTTATACAATGTGCTGTACAGTAAAGAGTTAAAATAGCAGAACTGATGGCTACCCTTTAAAAGTCCTACTTGCAAAGCTGGTTGATGGTGGTGACCCTGATAAAAGTCTCACTGTGCCTAAACAGTTTGTACAACCAATAGTTTATTATTTTTTTAAGATTTTATTTATTTATTTATGAGAGACACAGAGAGAGGCAGAGAGAGAAGCAGGCTCCATGCAAGGAGCCCGATGTAGGACTTGATCCTGGGACTCCAGGACCACACCCTGGGCTGACAGCAGGCACTAAATCACTGAGCCATCCAAGGATCCCCCTGTACAAACAATACAGTTTATACTGGACACCTGCTTTCCTTCTGGGAGTCTGGAATTTTGGTACATGCTAGGTAGAGGGTCTCAAATAAGCTTTCCTAGTAGTCACCATATATACAAGTTGTGACAACATATGGGTGGGGAATTAAGCACATTCTGTGGCATTCTATTGGGAGAGGACATCTGGAAGCTTGCACCATGTTTTACTCTACCTAACTTTTCTGTTCATTGATTTTATTCCGCATCCTTTTGTTATAATAAATCTTAGCCGTGAGTCCAAAGATATATTGAGCTCTGCCAGTCCTCTCGTGAATCACCAAACCTAGATATGGGCTTGGGGACCCCCAAACCACATGTGTAGAAGTTCCTCCAGGGATCCCTGGGTGGCGCAGCGGTTTGGCGCCTGCCTTTGGCCCAGGGCGCGATCCTGGAGACCCGGGATCGAATCCCACGTCGGGCTCCCGGTGCATGGAGCCTGCTTCTCCCTCTGCCTGTGTCTCTGCCTCTCTCTCTCTCTCTCTGACTATCATAAATAAAAAAAATAAAAAAAAAAGAAGTTCCTCCAGAATTAGAATCTAATTAGAATTATGGAACCTAAAGCTAAATCCCTAGGTTATGGGATATGTACACCTTTACTACAGACTATTTACTCTTCAAGGTGGTTCTATGAATTTATATTTCCTTCCGGGAGGGTATGAAAGTTCCCATTCCACATACCCTAGCCAGTATTTGGTAATTTTAAACTTTTATATTTCTGCCAGCCAGATATATGTGAAATGCTATCTCATTGTTTTTTTTTTTTTTGTCCCCAGGGAAACTTTATGACACACTTCTTTGGTGAGTATAACTGATTTGATTATAAAGTATTAATTTCTACCTATTTATTACTTCAGATGTAAGTCAAATCTCACAGGTATTTTTATTTTTATTTTTTTTTCCACAGGTATTTTTAAAAGTGGCATAGTATTAGATAATAAACATTAATTAGAAGTGGATGAAAAGATTAAAAGGGTATTTTCTTTGAGAAAGAAATATTATTCATTAAAGAATTTATACTACAAAGTTTTTCCTAGATTACCTAGCATATTTTAGATAATAGATAATTAGAAAAGTTCAATCCAAGTAAGCATTTCATTAAAATTCCAATTTGAAATTGCTATTCTGCCTGGAATAGGTTTGCCAAGATGTCACTGGAGATTTCTGAAACAAGTTTCAAGAGCTAAGGCATATGGTAGGAGACAACACACTACTGTCATCAGCTTGTGCCTAACCTAAAACTAACCTCAAGAAGTTCAATATAGTTGAATTTGTAGTTGGCAAACAATGAAAGTATTAATTCATAAAATTAGTTCATCCTCATCAAAAATATTTTTCCTTATGGATACTTGCATAGTACTTCATTTTTGGGAGACTACCGATCATTGACCACAGCTTTTGTTATCTTGCCCTGTAACCTTGTCAGACTGCTTACGTTGCTATACAATAACTAATAAGATATGAACAAACTCTCATAAGCCCTTCAATCTGATATTAAAGCTAATTCTTCCTATTTATGGATCTAAGCCATTGCATCTACTTGATGTGAACACCCTATAAATTCATGGAAATTTTGGGAGATAGGTGTTTTCATGGTATAGTGGTGGGATTAGAACCTGATTTTATTCAAGGAAATGTTTTTAAAAAATGTCAAATTACCTTAATGAAATTTTTTCTTACTATTTTTATATTATTTACCTCAAAATAAGAAGAGATATACTTCTATTTCATATTTAGTCCTTCTGCCATATATCAAAAATATTAAAATCTACATAATGGTTGGATAAAAGACTTTTTCTCTATGTTCATGTTTTTGTACTTTACATTAGTGAGGATTTTTAAAGCACAACCCATGTACTTACCTAAACTTCCAGCTGCCATTGCAGACTGCAATGCAGTGGTCAAACTTGGGATCATCTGGTAGTAGTATACTGTATCTGCACACACGCAGGCTGTGGTGCCCACTGCTCCTGGCCAAATCTGAATAGGTCGGGAAAAGCCCACCAAGAACAAAGGAAGGGTGAAGAGGGGGAGTAAGGGAGAGGAGAGTAGTGTAGAAAAAACTATGAAGACCAACACGAATGGAAAGAAGACAATGTTGAGTATACATAAAGAGGTGGTTGACTTTCGACGTTTTTTCTCAGTCCACGATGCCAAAAGTACAGTCACAGCGAATTGTAGTTTAGAGATGAACTGAATCAGACGATCACGCATGATACCAACCTGTAGAAATGTAAAAATGATTTTTTTTAATTTTCAAAGACTTCATGAATTTTCAAGATCATATAAGGAAAACTGTAGAATTTTATTATGGCTGTAACATTTTTGAGGAAATAGTCCTTATATGAGATTCTTTGTTATAATTTTTTCCAACCTCACAAATAATAAATGTCTACATTTTTAAAAGTTTGGGCTCTCTTAGAAAAAAAGTAATACTAAAGAGAACCAACAGAGTGCTAGCTATGTCTCAAGGTTGACTAACTTTTCTATTTTATGCTTGTTAGGTCACAAGAACCAGAAGTGGTAAATAGCTAAGCAACTATCCTTAATTCATCCTTATTTTAGAGAGTATTTTATAAATTAAGAAACAGAAGCCATGCCAAAGACAAACTTAATAGATTGCAGTTATACTAAGTTATGTTCATACAAATCATGCAAAGTATGTTTTTTTTTAAAGATTTTATTTATTCATGAGAGAGAGAGAGAGAGAGAGAGAGAGAGGCAGATACACAGGCAGAGGGAGAAGCAGGCTCCATGTAGGGAACCCGACGACGTGTAACTTGATCCCGGGTCTCTGTGATCACACCCGGGCCAAAGGCGGCACTAAACCACTGGGGCACTGGGGCTGCCTGCAAAGTATGTTCTTTAATCAAAACAGAATTAAATCAGCAATAGGAATAAAAAAAAAAATAGAAAGACATCTTGAAATTAAAAGACACATTGCTGGGGTGCCTGGCTGGCTCAACTGGTAGACCATGCAAGCCTTGATCTTGGGGTTGTAAGTTTGACCACACTGAGTGTAGAGAGTTCTTAAAAATAAAATCTTACAAAAAAAAAAAAAAAAAAAACTTACCAAAAAAAATTTAGACATTTTTTTTTTAATTTTAATTTTTTATTTATGATAGTCACACAGAGAGAGAGAGGCAGAGACACAGGCAGAGGGAGAAGCAGGCTCCATGCACCGGGAACCCAATGTGGGATTTGATCCCGGGTCTCCAGGATCGCGCCCTGGGCCAAAGGCAGGCGCCAAACTGCTGCGCCACCCAGGGATCCCCCCCCCCCAAAAATTTAAAAGACACATTGCTAAACAACCAACAGGTCAAAGAAGACATCACACAAAAAAATGAGAAAACATTTTGAGGGGATCCCTGGGTGGCTCAGCGGTTCAGCACCTGCCTTTGGCCCAGGGCGTGATCCTGGAGTCCCGGATCGAGTCCCCGTCGACTCCCTGTATGGAGTCTGCTTCTCTTCACCCTCTGCCTGGTTGTCTCGGCTCTCTCTCTCCTCCCCTTCTTATGTCTATCATGATGATAAATAAAAATCTTTAAAAAAAAAAAAAAAAGAAACATTTTGAGAGGAATGAAACAAAATCCAACATACCAAAACTTGTGTTTCAGCTAAACATGCTCAGAGGGCGAATTTAATAAGCTATCTTTAAATGACTACTTTAGAAGATCTTAAATCAATAACCTAATCTTCCACCTAGGAAACTAGAGAAACTATAACAAAGAACATACTGAAACCTCAATAACAGAAGGAAGAATATAAAGATAGGCAAGAAATTTAATAAAATAGAGGCATATAAAAACAAGAGAAAATCATGAATCAAAAGCTAGTTTTTTGAGATCAATAAAAGGACAAACTTTAGCGACACTGACCAAGAACAGAACAAGAAGACTCAAATTATTAAAATCAGAATGAAAGTAACTTTACACCAATCTTACAAAAAAAAAATTAGATTATAAGAGAATACTAGAACTATAGCTGATAAATTTAATCACTTAGAATAATTTGGCAAGTTCTTGAAAAACATAAATCTACTCAAGAAGAATAGAAAAACTGAACAGAGCTGTAAAAAGTAAAGAAATTGAATCTGTAATTTTAAAGCTACTCACAGAGAAAACTGAGGCTTACGAATGGCTTCATATAATATAATACTACATACCAACAAAAATTTTTTTAGATACTCTCAAATATAATCAAAACTTTTAAGAATAAGTAATGAAATTCTACCTCATTCTAGGAATTAGTGCTATTTGATATTGAAACCAAAAAGATATGACAAAAAAGAAATCCACAGATACCAGGTAAATACAACCACACAAACATACTAGCCACCAAATCCTGCAACCTATAAGCAGGATTAGACACCATGACCAAATGGGCATTTATTCTTAGAAGGCAATGTTGGTCTAACAACCAGAAATCAACATATTACACCATGTTAACCAGATTAAAGGACAAAAACCACACATGACTCAGAAAACGTCCTCTGACAAAATCACTTTAAACACTCTTTAATGATGAAAAGATCAACCAATAGAAGGGAAACTTCCTCAACAGTGCAAAAGAACATCTACAATACTGATATTGTTCTAATGGTAAAAGACAAACATCAACTTAATGGAGAAGACTGAATGCTTTCCTCATAATATGGTCTACTTTTCTTTTTTCTTTTTTTTTTTTGATGTCTACTTTTCTACTCAATATTATTACTGAGGTTGTGGCATAGGACATGTAGGTAAGACATTTAGAATAGAAAAGGAGAAGTAAAAATATCTCTATTATATCTAATTTGCAGATAATCGTAGATGTCTTACGCATTACAAAGTGTCTTAAAAAATCTACTAAAAATCGGGCAGCTTGGGTGGCACAGCGGTTTTAGGCACCACCTTCAGCTCCAGGGCGTGATCCTGGGATCTAATGGAGTCCACATCAGGCTTCCTGCATGGAGCCTTGCTTCTCCCTCTGCCTGTGTCTCTCTGCCTCTCCTGTCTCTGTCTCTTGTGAATAAATAAATAAAATCTTTAAAAAAAAATCTAAAAATCTGCTAGAACTAATAGAAGTTAGGTTTTAGGACACAAGATTAATATTAAAAAAATCAACTGTACTCTAAACTCAAGCAATAAACAAGCTAAAAAATGAATTAAGAAAACAATTCCATTTATAATATCATCAAAAATAATAATATACTTAGAAAAAAATTAATAGAAGTGTAAAACTTGTAACACTGAAAACTACAAATCATCGTTGAAATAAAGATCTTAAATATAAAGACATGTCATGTTGATGGGTCGGAAGAATTAACATTTTTAAGATGGCAATTGATCTACACATTTGAGGTAATCTAGCAAAGTTTTAGATATCTTCTTGCAAAAACTGAAAAGCTGAAACAATTATTTACATGGTAATGCAAGGGCACTGGGTCAAAACAATCTTACTTCCCGACTTCAAAACCTACTACAAAGTATAGTAATAAAGATAGGATAATACGAGCCTAAGGATAGACACACAGATAAATGGAAAAGAATTGAGAATCCAGAAATAAACTCTTACATGTTTCATTTGATTTTTGACCAGAGTATCAAAAAAAGACATTTCAATAAATGATGCCGGGACAATTATATATACCATATATAAAAGAATGGATTTGGAACCCCACCTCACATCATATACAAAAATAAACTCAAAGTGAATCATAGACTCAAATGTAGGACCTAAAACTGTAAAACTCTTAGAAAAAAACACAGTAAATCTTTATGATTTGGGATTGGCAGTGTTTATTAGATATGACCCCAACAATACAAGAGATGGAAGAAAAACGAAATAAACAACTTCAGCAAGATCAAAAACTTCTTTGCTTCAAAGCATATTATCAAGAAGGAGAAAGACAGCCTATACAATGGGGGAAAATTTTTGTTCATCATATATATGTCAAGGAACTTGTATCCAGAATATATAAAGAACTGTTAAATTCAACAATAAAAGAGCAAGCCATGAAGTGGAAGTGAAATCCCAGTCCTAGGTATATATAGTTAAAAGGAATGAAAACATGTGTCCAAAAAAAGCCCTATGTTCAAAAACATGTACACAAATGTTCATAGCAGCACTACTCATTATAGACAAAAAGTGAAATCAACCTAAAAATCAATCATCTGATAAATAACACAACCGGAGAAACAGAAAGTACAATAATGGTTGCTGGGGCTGGAATGGGGGGACGTGTGAGATGGAGAGTGGAAATAGGAAATGACGTTAATGTGTGTGAGATTTCTTTTTGGGATGTTGAAAATGGTCTAAAATTAAGACTGTGGTGATGGTTGTAGGATTCTACTACTGAACTAACAGAGTAAGCGGGTGATTTATGGTATGTGAAATACGTCTCAATAAAGCTATTAAAATACAGGATGCCCGGGTGGCTCAGCGGTTGAGCGTCTGCCTTCAGCCCAGGGCATGATCCTGGAGTCCCGGGATTGAGTCCCACATCGGGCTTCCTTCATGGAGCCTGCTTCTCCTTCTGCCTGTGTCTCTGCCTCTCTCTCTCTCTCTCTGTCTTTCATGAATAGATAAATAAAAAAAATAAATAAATAGAGCTATTAAAACATATGCTTACCAGTAAGAGTCTGATTCCTGTATCCAGGCTTCTGTTCCACCACACATCCGTACTGGAGATCAGCAAGTGTACTACTGACACAATGACTGTCTCTAATAAAGCATTTTCTGTACTCTGCCATACCTGTAGTACCAGAGAATCCACTTTATTAGGTAGAGTTTAATGATTTAAGTAAATTGGTAGAATAAACAACATTGCAATTACATTTAGCAGTACAAAAATACTGTTGGATGCTTATCTGGATTACCTTTCTAAAGGCTCTTGTGAATCCAATGGAGACAGACACAGAGTGGAGCCCCTGTAAGGAACTGTCCAGTGAAAGAAATGCTATCATAGCAAAGGGTGACACTAGGACAAAAAAAAAAAAAAAAAAAAGAGAGAGAGAGAGAAACAAATTTAAAGCAAAATAACTGCTTCTACCATATTTTATTTTGGCTAATATGATTTTTATGAGCACATTTAAGCAATTAACTGAAAAAAAATTAAGAAACAAACATAAAAGAATAAACGCCTGCATGCTGTATACTGCAAAAATATGGGAATTCCATATAGATTTTATCTTCCTACCTAGATTTAGCAAAATCCGTCTGACAACACCAATCTTCACGAGTCTTGTTTGCTTCTCTAAGAATAAAGTCACAGTTTGCACATCCTTTGGATACAAAGGGTTTCGGACAATTCCAAAGATATAAACACTTTGAATTTCTCTAAGTATCCATAGTATTATAAGCAATATCATCAAAATATAGCCAACAATAGCCTGAGGACTGTTATTGGAAATCTGTGGGAAACGAGCAAAGTGATGCAGCAAACTAGTTTCTGTGAGAGCCAAGACTAATATGATGATGTAGAAAAGGCATTCTTTCCAAGTAAACTGTTTTTCTGAACCACTGGGTGAAGCTTTAGATTTGGTTCCAACTCTGGTGACACTGTGTTTGAAGACAAGACTCATGTCACTTAGGTTAAGACTTAGTAAGAATCCCAGTCCAGTCATGAAAAGAACCACACCAACAGTACTGGGAATGAAATATGATGTTACAGCTGTTCCAGCAGAAATGGTGAACATTATTAATAACCTGTAGAGAAAAAGAAAGATTTGCTTTAAAAATTTAAAAATTATACTTTAAGAATAAGTTACATACAACTTTAATATTTAAGATGATTACCATAAGTGAGTTGACATAGATGAGCCTCCAAGGCCAAACTCTAAAACCTGCTCCATTGCCCATAAGAAAAGTGCATCAGGTGGGGGCAGAGTCCCAAGTGCCCAAAGAAAGGGTAAAAATATAAATAAGATGTGTAAAATCTGATTCATTTGTTCTAAAGCTGGTACATTTACCATAAACCTATAAGAAAAAGGATACATTTAAATCATACCAAATGATATACCGAAGAGGATCTTTCCAGGAAAAACAATGCATGCAACCCACTCCCCAAAACAAAGGAACACTTACAAAAAGATCCTAGTCCCAAACTGCAAAAGACCGACATTAATAAATTGTGACCATTGTCCTTCCCCTTTATCAGCGACTATCCTTACTCAATTGCGTAGATTAGCACTTAGAAAATATGTGGATTCAGGGATGCCTGGGTGGCTCAGTGGTTAAGCACCTGCCTTCAGCTCAGGGAGTGATCCTGGAGTCCGGGGATCAAGTCCCACATCGGGCTCCCTGCGTGGAGCCTGCTTCTCTCTCTGCCTGTGTCTCTGCCTCTCTCTTCTCTCTGTCTCTCTCATGAATAAATAAATAAAATCTTTAAAAACAATTTGTGGATTCAAATGTAGAAAGAAGGAAGAAGTCAATAAAAGCAATTTACTTAGAATATAATTGAATTTAGGGATTTGTAAAGCTGAACTGAGCCAAGAGCAGAAATATTTCACTCTTAATTGTCTAAACTACATTGGCTGAAACTCTACCAATGATTCTTGAGTTTAAAAATTTCTAATTTAAAATTGTAACTCTGGGAAAGCCAAAGCCTTACTGATGTTCTTACCATTAGTTGCCAACAAAGAGAGCTCTTCTTACTTCCCACCATACTGTCTTAACCCCCAGACCCAGAATTTGAAGTCAGTAGAATTAGTATCAGGAGTCGAGAATATTACATTATGAATGTGCCTCTATGGGTTAAAGCCTAGGAACTTAACTAGCATTTTTTTTTAATTAAAAAAAATTTAAAACATTTTATTTGACAGAGAGAGAGAGAGAGACTGAGACTGTGAGAGCACACAAGTACACAGAGTGGCAACAGAGGGAGAAGAAGCAGGCTCTTAGCTGAGCAGAGAGCCTAAAACGGGGCTTGATCCCAGGACCCTGAGATCATGACTTGAGCTCAAGGCAGATATTTAACCTACCGAGCCACCCAGGTGCCCCTTAATTGGCATTTATAATACTGTTTTTATTTTATATAAATAGTGGTATGGAATTGAGAATACAAACTTGTAAAATAAAATCTCATAAATTAGAGATGGCTTCTATAAGGTGGAGAAATCGGTTCTTGGTACAGCACATACCCGTTAAATATAGTATTATATGGTTTTAAATAATTTAACAAAAATGTAGAACATAAGAGAATAAACACTATGAATATCTTACTAATTCTTTAGAATAAAGTTGACCAAACATTTTGTCTGGAAACCAATAATGTCAGAATACAGGTTCCAAAAATAACTTGCAAAAGAGAAAACTAAATCTCAAAACTTATAGCATAATTGTACTTGAATACCTGAGCTGCTAAGAATCAAAGTCAAGGAGAAGGCAACTTCTGTAATAATTACCCACTTAAGTGTATGTTAACAGCCCAGAAGCAAATGTATAGCAAATATGGATTATAATAATGACACAATGTGTTTGGTTACACAGATATCAGGACTATGTTGGTTAATGCACTCTGTCTCAGAATGTATGTCCTTCAAATTTTATAAGCAGAGAATTAATGAATACAAGGTTAACAATGTGATGCTAAATTAGAGGAGAATCTTTTTTGTAGTATAGTTTTAAAATACATTTCATTTTCATTCTGGGAAGAAAATACGCAAGTAACAAAAAAAAAAGGAAAATCAAACCACACATAATAAACTGCAGGAAGGTCAAGGAAAACATGCAGATCTGTAGTTATTTTTCTTGTTAACGACAACATTTCTAACATATTCAACAACAGTATAATTTATGTAAAATAATGTATACTCAAGAAATATTTTACCCAAATTCGATTTAACCTCCCCAAATCTTCTTATTCTTAAGCAATGACACAGAGAATCTGTCTATATAGAAGAATATCATACACAAAAATAAGCATACATAACTTAAGCAACCAAACACTGTGATCACTTTCCTGTATGACTTAGACTCAAATAATGATTATTGTGGTTAAGTCTTTCAAATAATATGATTATTGTGGTTAAGTCTTTTTATATGGAAAATATGTTTAAATTCTATTTCTGATAATGTAACAGGAATTTTCTATGGTAAAATATCTCAGCTTTCAAGAGATATTTTTGAATATCTAACAGTTATAAAAACATTTCCAATTCTGTATATTCACTAAGATCCACATGCCCAGAAAAAAAGTATTTATAGTAACTAAGATAATATAAATATGCATCATTCATTGAAACAATTCCTGAGATCTAAGAACTAAAAAGCACTAAAGATTTAACACTTGTCTTTAATAAAAATGCACAGAAAAGTCACTTAAAATTATTAATACACAAGTATACTGAGTAGAATAAACAGGGAAAGAGAAAATATTATTATACTGTGACGCTGGTCTCTTCAACTTTTACATTCTCTGAAATAAAATTAAGACACAATTTAATTTATCTGACAACTGTCCAAACTTCAACAGTGCACACATTTCATACATTATTTATCTACAGTATCATACCTACCATATAAAGATCATCTTGATTCTTATTTTGTTTAAATTTCTAAGTTAAGTGGGAGGTAACTGTTATGCACAAATATGTCAATCTTTTTCTATAAAAATAGATTTTGGCCTGCTTTTGTCTTTTCCTTTTAGTAGAAAAAAAAAAGTGAACTGTCTTTGTAATGATCAAACTATAAACATTAAAACTGTATATTAAATCCAACTAGAATTTAGTAAAAAACATTATGCTTTTTCATTTAGAAATGGTAATGCAGTCAAGGTAACCAAATTATAAATTAACTGAGATTTAAAAAAATTTTCAAGTACTTAGGGCATAGTTTTAAATGTAAAGATGTAATATAGGCAGGTATGGAATTTCTGATTTCAAAAATAGCACAATGAGACAATAACTACAGAATCTAAATTCTGGGGGTGCCTGCGTGGCTCAGTCGGTTGAGTGTCTGCCTTCCACTGGGTACATGATCCTGGGGTTCTAGGATGGGCGTGGGACTGGGAGTCTCAGAGTCAGGCTCTCTGCTCAGAAGGGGGCCTGCTTCTCCTTCTCCCTTTGTGCTCTCTCATGGTGGAGAAAGAGAGAAAAAGCTCTCTAGTTTTTCTTCTTATAAGGGCACGAATCCCATTAGAATAGGACCACCCTTATGACCTAATTACCTCCCAGAGACCTCCATCTCCAAATACCATCACATTGAGGGGTTAGGGCTTCAACATATGAATCTTGAGGGGGCATATACATTTATTCCATAACATTCCATCCCAGTCTCCCAAATTCATGTTCTTCCTACATGCACAATACATTCATTCTATCCCAACAGTCTTAACAAATTCCAGCATCAACTCTAAAATCTATAGTTCAAAGTTTACCTAACTACCATCTAAATCAGATATAGGTGATACTTGAGGTACACTCTATACTGAAGCAAAATATCTCTCCAGCTGTGAACCTGTGAAATCAGGCAATTTATGTGCTTCTAAAACAAAATGGTGGGACAGCCCCAGGATGGACATTCTTATTCAAGAAGGGATAAACAGAAAGGAAGGAAGGGGTGGCAGGCTCCAAAAAAGTCCCAATAGCAAGGCAAATTCCATTAGATCTTAAGGCTGGGAAAGAATCCTCTTTGGTTTCTCACACTGCCCTCCAGGCCTCCAGGGTTGCAATAATTACCCAAACAGCTCTAGATGGGGGGTCCCATTCCCAAGGCTCTGTAGGGCAGTACCAGTCCCAAGGCTTCCAGCTTCTAGTTTGTTGAAACCAAGGAAAAATATCCCTGACAATCTCTGAATCACTTTTGGGGTCATTTTTCCCTCTTCTTAAACACCTGTCAAATCTAAGAAATCTAACAGCCTTAGTTCATTCATCTTGTCTCTGACCCCTTTCATTGAAACAGAGTATTTTTGGTCATACAACCCCATAAACTATTTAGTGGTAGGCCAGTCACACTCTTGGTGCTCACTTCAGAATATGCTTTCTCTCTCTCTCTCTCTTTTTTTTTTTTGTAATACAGATAGGCCAAAAATTTTCCAAACCTTCAAGTTCTGGTTCATTTTTACTTATCAATTCCTTCTTCAATTCATCTCTCCTTTCATACAGTCAGGAGGAATCAAGGTGTTCTTTCAAACACTTGCTTAGAAATATCCTCACCTCTATATCCAATTTCATCACTCTCAAGTTCTACTTTCCACAAAACTTTAGAAAATGGTTTGGCCAAGTGCCACTTTATAGCAATAATCACCTTTCCTCCAGTTTCCAATAATAGATTCGCATTCCTAACACTTCACCAGAAATGCCTTTAAGTCCATATTTCTAGCATGTACCTCAAAACTCTTCAGCCTCTACCCATTACCCAATTTTAAAGCCACTTCCACATTTTTACTTATCTGTTACAAGAGCAACCCACTTCTTGGTATCAAAATCTGTCTTAATCAGTTTGGGCTGCCATAATGAAATGCCACAGACTGAGTGGTTTACATAACAGAAATTATTCTGGAGGCTAGAAGTTCAAGATCAGCATGCCAGCATTGTCAGGTTCTGCTGAGAACTCTCTTCCTGGTTTGCAGACAGCAGCCTTCTTACTGTATCCACATACAGTGGGGAGAGAGAGAGATAGATTAAGCTCTCCAGTGTTTCTTCTTAAAAGAGAACTAATCCCATCAGACCAGGGCCCCATCCTCATTTTCCTAATTATCTGGCAAAGACCTCATCTCCAAACACTGTCACACTGGGGGATGGGCTTCAACATATGAATCTGAGTTTGGACATGAATATTTAGTTTATTACATGCCTATACATTTCTACCTGGACACAAACTTGTGAAAGAGAAAGCTACAATCTACAGAAACAGAAAAATAAAAGTCAGATTTAGAAAAGGCAAGTAAAGAGGGTTATCTAACAATTATATAAATAGTTTGGTAAACAATTTTGTTTAAAAACTCTTATTTTCTATTTTTCTACTATAACATAAAAATTATCACTATTCCTTCTAATAGTTACAACAGAATTAGAAATGCTATTCATCTTAAATTTACTTAATCTGTACATAATATTTATGTGTATAATTTAAAATTCTTCATTAGACCCTCATAGGAAAGTTTCATCTCTTTTCATAAGTCTCAGCCAGGCTATCTTACAGATTCACAGATCCTTACTTAAAGTGAAACAAAGAATTGAAATTTTGCTTATTTATCTTACCTTATAAAGGATTTTCTTTTACTTTTCAATAAAGTTTAGAGACTGTGTTAGCATTCATGTTTTAACAGAGATTACTCCTAAGAGATTAATCATCAAAACAATCTTATCATCCAATGGTTTGGTCTTGATGATTTCAATTCATAGATCCATTTTCTTAATACTAAGGAGAGCTCATATTATGCATGCTTAAAAACAAAGCAAGTTATAAAGTATCTGATAACTTATTACCTGTGTGCAAGATCTACAGAAACAAAGACAAAAATATAAAGAGGTCTCATAAGAGGAGTGATTTCATAAGTATCCTGGGTTTGGAAAGTCGCAGTCTCTGCAGCTGTGTTTACAATTAATGAATATTCTCCTATACATAATGTCATCCATCCAAAGACAAACAGTAGAACAGTGCCTCCTGCACTGTTATACAGCAGGGATATTCTATTTGGGAGCAGATACCATGTTCCAAGACCACACATTAACCCAGCAAGAAAAGAATGAAGAACTGTATTGGCTATGTATTTCTTGCCAGGAATTAGAAATTTGATCGTTTCAGCACCAGCACAACTTGTAAAGTCATGTTCATCTTCCTCTGCTAAGATATCTGTGGTTAGCATTCTTTCTACTGAAACCGATTTGTTTCTGGCATATAAACTTGTGAACTGGACGATAAATGCAGCAAAAAGCATTAGTCCACCTGAAAGTGCTGCTGTGTAGTAGTCTTCCAAAATGCCCAATTGATACAAAAGTGTTCCTAAACCACCCCAAACCCATGGCATCAGAAAAAGGATAATTTGATTAACATATACATAAGGAGGGGCACAATAGCCTAATTTGAATCGAGGGCCTCCAAGAAAAGTCTGTGGAAAACGCTTCAGAAAGAAGTCCTGTTTGTAATCATTCAGCAGAGGCACATCTGGACTCATCCTTCTTATTCAGGATTATTGTGAAAGCCGCATCTTCTTCTGTAACACAGCAGTCTCTAAGAAAAAGAAAAAAAGTCACTATTTGACCATGTCATACTTAAAAGATGGTGAGGGGAACCCCACATTTCTATTTTATCTCCTTAATTCCTTCAAGGACAAGATTTATAATTTCACCTCTCTAGCTCTTCCCCATTGCCTCACACACATGGGGCACTAAACAAATAGTCATGAAGTTGTTTTTTCACTTGAAAAAGAATCATTCACTACTATTTATTTAGATATTTGGGATTAGATCTTAAATTAGCTACCATTTTTAGATTTTTAAGTCAAAGAAAAGTGCAAAAAGCCAGTTCTTCCAATGCAAATCCGCCAGTGATTTAACTGTTTCCCTAAGAGTTTCTGATGTTTGTTTTTAAACTCTCCCTCTATTATAATGGTTAGTAAAATTTTTCTCTAAGGGCTGAAGAGTAAATATTTCAGCTTTTGTGGACCATATGATCTCAGCTACAATGACTCAATTCTGCTGTTGTATATTTGACAGGAGCACCAAGACCATTCAATGGGGGAAAGGATGGTCTTTGCAATAAATGGTGCCAGGAAAACTGAGTATCCATGTGCAAAAGAATGAAATTAGACCCTTAACATCATATACAAAAATTAACTCAAAATAGATCTAAGTGTAAGACCTAAAACAATAAAGCTCCTAGAAGAAAACATAGAACAAAAGCTTCCAATACTAGATTTGGCAGTGGCTTCTTGGATATGACACCAAAGATAACACACAGGTAACAAAAGGAAAATAGACAAATTAGACTTCATGAAAATTTAAAAATTGTGTGCATCAGACACTATCAACAGAGTGATATTTTGTCACAGAATGGGACAAAATATCTACATATCTAACTGATAAAGGATTACTATCCACAATATATAGACAGCTCCTAAAACTCAACAATAAAACAATTCAATCATTGGCAAAGGACTTGAATAGACATTTCTCCAAAGAAGATATACAAATGGCACAATAAATACATGAAAAGATGCTCAACACCATGAATCATTAGAGAAATGCAAATCAAAACTATAACAAGATATACTACACACTCATTAGGATGGCTCCTATCAGAAAAATAGGAAACAAGTATTGGTGAGGATGTGGAAAACCAGAACTGTGGATGACAGTATGATGGTTCCTCAAAAAGTTAAAATCGAACTACCATATGATTTAGGTATTTGACTTCTGGCTATATACCCAAACAAGTGAAAGCAGGGTACCAAAGATATATTTGTAACTCATGTTCATAGCAGCATTATTCACAATAACTGAAACACAGAAGCAACCCAAGTGTCCACCAAAGGATGAATGGATAAACAAAATGTGGCATATACCTATAATGGATATCATCCAACCTTAAAAGGAAGAAAATCCTGCAATATCCTATAACATTGATGAAACTTAAGGACATTATGCTAACAAAACAAGTCAGTTACAATAAGGCAAATACTGCATAATTTCACTAAGACAAGGTACTTAGTGTGGTCAAAATCATAGCAGGTTGAATGGTGGTTGCCATGGGCTGAGGAAAGAGAATGGGAGTTCCTGTTTAATGGGCATAAAGTTTCACAAGGTGAAGAGAGTCACAGGGATGAATGATGGTAATGACTGCACAACAATGTGAATGTATTTAATGCCATGGACTATACACTTAAAAATGGTTAAGACAGTAAACATTGTATGTATTTTACCACAAATGCACAAATTTAAAGCCATCTTAAAATAGCCTTTCTTCCTTTCCTTTTCCTTCCTTTCATTCTTTTCTTTAGTTTAAAACAGTCTTTCAGGGGCACTTGGGTAGCTCAGTGGTTGAGCATCTGTCTGCCTTCAGCTCAGGTCATGATCCGGGGATCCAGGGATCGAGTTCTGAATCAGGTTCCCCACAGAGAGCCTGCTTCTCCCTCTGCCTAAGACTCTACCTGTTTCTTTGGTCTCTCATGAATAAATAAATAAAATCTTAATCAAAACAAAACAGTCTTCCTGCAAGTCAGTTCTACTCAACCAACATCAGTCCTAGAGAGAGCTTGCAGGCATCATGAAAGTTTTGAGGAGTGCCATTAAGAATCACTACCTTAGAATACCTCTTGTTCTACTGTTAGGAAGTTCTTTAAACTGTAAACACTTACCATTTTTTTTTTATCTTTTGGCCATTGGTCTTAGTTCTACACAGAACAGGTCATAGCTTTTACATATGTGACAGCCCTGCAAGTACTCACAAAATAAGAGAACTACAGGGCCAAATGGAACCTTAGTCATTGATGGTTCAATCTCAAGGAATAAAAAGTAGTCTCCCCTCTGGATGAGCTTAACTCCTGTCCTGATGTCAGGTTCAGTGTACTCCTCTATTCTAATATGATTGTTCGGGGCGACCCGGATGGTTCAGCGGTTTGGCGCCACCTTTGGCCCAGGGCGTGGTCATGGAGACCTGGGATCGAGTCCCACATTGGGCTCCCTGCATGGAGCCTGCTTCTCCCTCTGCCTGTGTCTCTGCCTCTCTCTCTCTGTGTCTCTATGAATAAATAAATAAAATCTTTTAAAAAAATATGATTGTTCTATAGAAGCCAAAGGGTAAGTAAGGGCATACTCCTGTGAATGGGTATAAATATTCTGGTTTAAATTATCCACAGAAGATGCCATCAGAAGGGAAAATGAACTCAGATGTCTGGCCTGGGCTTTTTCAAGAGACTGGATGTGCCTGGAATTTATTCAGAGTCAGGTAAAAGCTAGTCCTTTCTGCTCCACTGAGGCAAATCAGTCAGGAACAAGGTGAGATGGCTTGCTGGGAAAGGAAGCCAGAAACTGAAGACACCTTATGAACCAGACTATCTAGCTGCATATTACTACCCATATTCATTTACCTTTTACTACTTTGGAATCTTTGGTAGAGCTTAGTTGAAATGTTATTACCCATTTGATGGAATACTCTGTGATTATATTCCAAACTGAAATATTCTGAAGATCTGTTGTTTATGTGGAAACAGAAAGGTGCATTAGTTGAAAAGTGAAAGACACACTGATGATCTCATTTGCACTTTCAAAAATAAAAAGTACACACACTTATGGTTGTATACAGTTTGTACAGGTGTAAAAAATTCCAGATAGTATACACGCTAGGGTGTGCTTGTGTGCCTGTGTATTTTACATGGAACATTTTGATACCTCCTCAAATTACCAAATAACCTCTAGAACTCTCAGCCCCATGCCCCACAAACAGGTTCATGCAGTCTTTTCTTTCTGGGTGCTTCTGCTCATGCCCTCTCCTTTGCCTAGGATGTCCTTTCTTTTGCTCCCTAATTGGTATTCTTGATCAACTTTCAAGATTGAGTCTAATCCTTTCTGAAAATTCCCCAGAGTACTCTCTTCTCTTTGCGTAGTAAACATTGATTGTTCATACCACTCATCTTGTAACATATATCAACATAGGGCATTTCTTCTATTGTTCACCTCTTTATGTGTTATTTTTTCATATATACATCTTTACTAATACGTTATTTGTGGGCAGGGGTCAAATCTTGAGACACTTCCAATTCTCCATTAATATTTAGTAAAATATTTTGGCATGGAGAGAAACGTGATACATTAATGGTGTAGCTTAAATAAGATGATTAAAATTAAAACATTAAATACTGCTGTTTACAAGGGAAGTTGGGAGTGTTTACTTTTATTTGTTTTGTTTTAAAGATTTTATTTATTTATTCAGGAGAGACACACAGAGAGAGAGGCAGAGACACAGGTAGAGGGAGATGCAGGCTCCATGCAGGGAGTCTGATGTGGGACTCGATCCCGGGTCTCCAGGATCAGGCCCTGGGCTGAAGGCGGCAACAAACCACTGAGCCACCTGGGCTGCCCAGTTCACTGTTTTTGAAAACCTCTTCCTACATACTCTGCTTCACTCACAACAATAAACTTGTAAACTCTTTATTCTTGTTTTTTAAATGTTTAAAAATATCTTAATTTATTTTTAATATAGAATAAATAATGAAAGTACTTCTTGATAGTAATAAACATGGCTAGGTTTCTGCAATGGAGAAGGAAATGGCTGGAGAATTTTAACATGTCAGAAATCCATGCTACATTCTAACTTCCTTCATTATCAGGAAAGAGAAGCTAGATCATACTAGTGAAGAAAAGCAGAGATAAAATAGCAAGTACAAGAATGAAAATGAGGCAGGAGCAATCAATAAAGAAGTGAGAGCACATTGAGAAGTATGCAAAGAGTGTTCATACTTGAGTTCCCTCAAGACACCTTAGAAGCATTTGGGAGAGGGGCACCTGGATGGCTCAGTTGGTTAAGCATCTGCCTTTGGTTCAGGTCATGATCTCAGGGTCCTGTTCAGCAAGGAGTCTGCTTCTTCCTCTCCCACTGCACAGGCACTCTCTCAAATAAATAAAATCTTAAAAAAAAAAAAAAAGCAGCAGCAAGTGGGAGGACACTGAGATGGTGATTTGAATTATTTTTAATGTGACAGTGAAAGCAAGGCTGTAATATACAGAATTATTTGCCTTATACAATGTTTCTTAAAAAGGGGCTCATGGCCAAAGAAGTTTGAGAAATAACACACTAGACTGTTATCTTGAAGGGTCACAGTAGATATCAGCAAACTGAAGACTTTGAGACATCTTTGAAGTTAAAAAGAAAAAACAAAACACAACAACACACTACTGCAAACCTGCATTAAATGTATCATTTGAATTTTCCAAAATTACTTGAACAGGGAACTCATCTTTCCCAAGATATCTAGCAACAGTTCATGTGTGTAGTGTTCTATTTAAACCACTTTAAGAAATATTGGTTGAGCTTCAGTTAGGATCTTAAAGATTTAGCTAAGCCAAGAGAATTAAAAAAGATATACCAATCAAGTAGAAATTCACAACGGTAGACAAGGAAAGAGATTATGATGGAAATTTGACAAGTGACAAGTATATCAGGTTGCTGAAAAGCTTATTTCTAATATGGGTATATTTTCTCTAATATTTTAAGGATAAAGGAAGATTGTAG